GCGAGAGGCTAATTGTGGCGAGAGCGAAAGTGAAAGAACTCTAATTAGAACGAGATTAAGGCAAAACCATCACAGCTGTAAAAATCCATTAACCTTTAATCGTACAGTTCATCGCACACTGGAGGTTAGTGTGTGTGTGTGTGTGTGTGTGTGTGTGAAGGAAACATTATGATCCCATCAGAACAATGACGTGTGAAAGTATATAACTTCACTAACCTGTGAAAACTGTTCACACTCAACGTTTCCCCCAAAACAAAGTTTAATAAGTTTTGAATTGACTGAACTTTACACTTGTTTCTGTTCTTGTGTCCACTGTCCTGAAAAGACGGAGGACAGAGGACCGTCTCTGTAATAAGGTGATAAACAACGTGTCACATGATTAGAAACATACATTATGATTCGATGATGCTGTGACATCAGAGGAATTTAACCTGAACATGTTCACAAACAGGTTGAAAAGTTGTTTAGTGTCGAGTCTGAGAAACTACTTTCACCAGGTTAGAGAATCTAAAGTGAGTTTAATAAACGAACCAGCAGAAGAGCCAGGACATCTAAGCACAAGCGGGTTATATCTGAGCGAGAGCTTCAGAAAATGAGTCATGAACTCGTCATCAATTCAAGATTTCAGCAACAACTTTAAAAAAACAAATTATTTTCTAACATCAGACGCAACGATAAACACCAGAGTTCTAAAGAAACGTGACGTCGTTGACCCGACGCCATGTTTGAATTAGAGTTTGACCTTTGACCCATTGAAGTGATGCAGAGCGGATGATGAATTTTATGAGAGAACGCACTTTCAAATCTATGGTTGATTATTTGTGAGACTGCAACAACAACCACGGTCAGAAACTCAAGAACAAGATCCTCCCACACTTTCTTTCTATCACGAGCCCCCGAGTCCATTTTCAGTTGAGGTCCCTTGAAACTCTCGAGGACCTTTCGACTGAGAACAGAACAAAGTTTGATCTTCACCAGCACGAAGACGACGGTGAGAGCTGCAGCCCGACCCCCGCCTGCTCGTTGGGTCGCGTGCCTTGCTCATGGACAGTAAGCTTACTGAATCTATCACCCTGGCTCTTAAAATTCTCTGTCAGCAAGAAGAGTTTCCATATTTCTATTTTTATTCCTCTGCAGTATTTCAGTGTTGCAGAGGAGGAGGTGACGTGTCTGACATCAACTCCTCCACGTTTTCAGCAGCATTCTGACTCCTCTCCCTCCTTTAGCTCGTCCATCTGCAGACGGAGCTGACAGAGCAGATTGTGGGGGAAATACCAGAAGATTTATTCTTCTAATTTACTTTTTGAATGGAATCTTCTCCGGCGGCAGCGAGGCAGTAACGACAGCCCGGCTGCAGAGAGGTCCGAGGTCGCCGAGGCTAAACGACAAACAGATGCTGCTTAACGAGCTGGTGCTGCGACGCTGTGGACGGAGACGGAGCAGAAAAATAAAACATGCAAATGTCGCGAATATTATTCATGTGGCCGTCGTCTTACTTTGGAAATGACTTCATCTGATCAACTTCACACGTGCAGTGAAATTGTTTGGGAAAGAGCAGTGAAGACTTTGGTGCCATCTGGACACGTGGTACTTTAAATATTCATACAAATTGCAGGTCTCCATCATGAACCACCCACGGAATCACTTCCTGTTTACGTCTCTCTATGTGGGTTAGTAGTTAGGGGTCATTTCGTTGATGCAATGTGAAGTGCAGCTGAAAAGCTTTTATTTTGACAAGGTCTGAAGCTTGTGTCGGTTGTTTAACAGACGAAGTCAAAAATTAGATATAAACCACACGTTAGAGTAATAAAGTAAATTCAGTTTAATTTAATGAAAAACATTCACTTTAAAATCTTCAGCGCAGATAAACCAGGTAGGATGAACACAACGTTTTCTAACGTCCCTCCGCACCACAGACTGTTTCTGTAAAACTCTGCACACAAACAATACGAAGTGACAGAAAATCACTGATGACAAGTTTAAGTTTAACAGATGATGTCGTCCACGTGTTGTGAGGTTATTATCTCCTCGTCAGTCCCATTAGAATCTCATCAGAGTTTTTTTGCATCACCGTGGTTCTGACGTCCGGAGCCTCACACCGTCTGAACTCCTGCGTTTCTCTGATTGCTCCAAATTCACGCTCTGTGCTTTCAGTGACCGCACACGACACGTTTCCTCCGACAGCAGGAGGCTCAGACCCTCCTGACCCCGGAATGAGACGCTGCACCTCCCGAAGCTCATCACTGACTTCATCCCTCCGATATGAAACACAAAAAACACACTCAAGTGCACCCGCTCACTTCCACACACAGACCAGTGCGAGAAGGACGGAGAGGAGGAAGATGGAGGAAGAGGAGGTTGTGAGTTCCCTGAGCGCTGTGTGATGTTCCACATTAAAGACAAATGAGAGAAACACATTCAACAGGTCGTGCTTCCACAGAGACACAAGAGTCAGAGTCTTTGTATTTGAACATCTAAGTTAAATGTACTTTTAGTACACGGCTCATATGTTAAACTTCTACTTGCAGTTCGCCTCAGTAATGAAAAAGCCGCTCTTATGGTCGTTAACGGTTCGCAGACCTCAGACCCGGACTCTTCTTAGACGATCTGCTTTAAATGTTCTCCTGCGTGATGTGGACAAAATGGTGGAGCCACACACAGAAGGTTAGCGCAGCACCCGGACAACTCACAGCTCGCACATCACCAGAGTTTTAAGAACTCGTGTCCCAGGACGGTTACAACGGCTGATCTCTGTCGACGGGAAACAATCTGACTGGACGCCTGCCAACCAATCAGAGGAGAGTATTTACTCTGGTTACGGAAACACTAAAATTATCGTCAAGTGATAAAAGAATCCTGGAAAAAATCCACTGAGCTGGCAGCTGCAGAAAAACAATCAGGACGACGACGCATCAGACCTGCTGGGAAATTACACAACAGCTGCCACACACACACACACACACACACACACACGTTTGTACAGCTATCCTAGTGAGGACACTAATTGACATAATACATTCTTTAGCCCCGCACCCCAACATAAACCTAATTCTAACCCTCAGTCCAAAGTGAGGATCGGTCAAAATGTCCTCACTTTCCAAAAGTGTCCTCGTCTATGCTTAAAATAATCCTCACAAAGTACAGCAACACACACAAACACACACACACACACACACACACACACAAACGCACACACACATGCACGGACGCACGGATGTTGAAAATTAGCATTTTGACAAGTGTTGACTTTAATTACGCTCGATGATTGTGAGCCACAAACATGACTGAGCCAATTATAGGAAATGCTGCCACATTAGAGCAAATGCAGCTCATTAAAGTACAGCATGCACTTGTGTGTGTGTGTGTGTGTGTGTGTGTGTGTGTGTGTGTGTGTGTGTGTGTGAGATGGCAGCTGCACTAACACAGTCATAGACAGTTTATATAAAGCTCTGACCAGTGCAGACGTGATGTTAATCAGGTGAACGTGTCAGGTGATCAGCTCATCACAACATCGTGTCGGACTAAAGGTCACAGCTGAAAGACGACCGAGAGGGAAACACAGAAGTTTGTTACAGCTGTTGTTGTTTAAAACATCTGTATCTGATAGTTGCTCAGTTTTTTACTTCAGTGTCAGTTCTGCTTGTGCTTCACTGTAAAAGTAGAAAATTCAGAGTGTGACTTTTGCTTTTGGTTAAAATCTAAACTGATTTTCCTCCTGAGGGTAAAAACACTGGTGCAGATGTTGATCACAGCTGCCTCACAGCTGGAGGGCTCCTGTGTGGAGCGTCTTCTCCACCAAGGCTTGATCTCAAACCAGTTCTTTGGGTCTCGACAGCCAAAGAACCGGCTCTCGGCCAGAAAACCTGGTTCAACTCTGGCTCCAACACTATATCTATATATTTATATCTGTGGAGCCAAAGTGAAGCAGCAGATAAACGGTCTCCTCCTCTTCTTCTATTGTTTAATGACGTCTCTACTTCCTGTGATTGCTCCCAAAAGTCCAAACTATCCAGAAAAGTGTTTCCACTCTGCAAACCAACAGAACCATGGTTCAGTTTAAGCCACTGAGATGATTTCTTACCAAACAGAGAGTCTGTTCAAAACAGTTAGTGCAGGGCTGAGATGTCATGTGTGGATAACAAAGGTTTTGATGGACTGACGCTGCTGCTGCATGGAAACCAGAGCGACGGGAAAAAGAAAAAGAATAAAGTTACATGTCACTGATCCATATGTGATTTTATTATGAAAAAGAATGCTCGTGATTCAGGAGTTTATATTTTCATAAAGAAAATGACCTCAGGACGAAGAGGAGTGAATTTCTCCTTCATCTCGTTAAAGGTTCCACAAACAGACCAGATGAGGTGATGTGGTTTCAAGTGAATTGAAATGTATCGTCTCAATGTGTTTCATCACAGTTAAATATAGATGTGCTGCGGGCTGTGTGTGTGTGTGTGTGTGTGTGTGTGTGTGTGTGTGTGTGTGTGTGTGTGTGTGTGTGTGTGTGTGTGTGGTCTTCCTGGTTTCCTCAGCATCCATCACTATGGCAGCGCCGGACAAACCAATCTCCTCCCTGTCTCTTCCCATTCCATCACACTCGTCCAATCAGCGGCTTCATCAGCCGACCTGGTTTCCACGGAGGCGGATCATCCGGCTCTGAGGCGGACAAACCCGACCTCCGTCAGTCGGCGCCGTTCCCACAACCCCGAAGATACTTTGGAGGGAAACTTATTTGGGCCGATTTAAGCGTTTTGAAATATAAGTTCCCTCGGATGACACCCACACAGCTTCTTTTATTTAAATTCATGAGGTCACATTAACTCACAGTCTGGGAACTTTTCATAAGAACGTGTTTCAGCGGACACCAGCTCTGCCCTGAAACCATATTTACATATTCCAGCGACTGTCACATATTGATTCACTCACTGAGAAGCAGCTTTCAGACACAGAGGAGCCCGAGGAGGAATCTGTTGCATTATCCATGAGGCTGATCCATCAGAGCCTCTTCTGCTCGCCAAGGACGCACCGAGTCGCCGCAGCTGAAATGTCGGACTTTGAAGTTGCCTGCAAGTTTCTTTTAATCTCGCATTCAGTGCACGGTAACTTCACCACATGGGAGATCTGGAGCCCAGGAATCGGATCACTGTGAAACATGATGACCCCCCCCCCCAGTCTCTCGTCGCATCCTCCAGTGATGTGACTTCAAATTTCCCTGGAGGTCCAAGAACACGTGAAAGGAGCGCGAGCTGTAGTTTCTCCTCATGACCCGTTCGTCTGTTCCTGTCCTCTGGGGACCCGGGTATCAACCCATCGTGACGTTTTGTCATCGGTGCCATCTTGGTTTTTGGAGATTAGAAGAAACCATATTTGTAGGATTATATACAGTCAGACGAGGTTGAACACTCATCTGTGGTTCGTCCTCAGGGGAGTCCACAGGTTTGTTATCGTAAAAAACCTTTTACCTCCACACGCCGCTTCTCTGACGCTCGGGACGACTTTGCTAGCGTCCAAAACAACAAAATTTACTTTACCAGCCCGTCCAGAGGAGACGGACGGGCTGCCCCCCCCACTTTCAAATTCAATGTTTGAATAACAAGCCCCTCTGTGTAAGCAGCGCTCATCTACATACAAAAGACTGGAGAAGGCTCCGCCCCCAGAACAACCTGCCCTGAGATTACTATGCAAATGATCAGAGTCCTGAACCGACACTGTGTCATTGGCATGAACGAGCCGGTGTCACAAATTGCTCCACTAAATAAACACACACAGAGAGATGGAGGTCCGACGCTGCAGGAGCACGAGTCAACTCAGCCTCGTTATTCCTGAAGGATAAAAGCCGCGGACACACGAGACGACTGAAGCAAAATAAAAACATAAAAGTCAGAAAGGCAACAACACTTATCCACATTTCCTGTGACGCGGCGGCTCCAGATTCAGATTGATGAATACTTTATTTGTCCTCGTGGGGAAATTGGTTTGCAGCTTAATCTCGGGGGCGTTTTCATCTCAGCGTTATAGAGTTCGATCTGTCACAGAGTCAACAGAGCAAAACTCATAAATCCTCATATATAACGTCCCGCTCCTGAAATCTGTGTCGGAGGATTCACCGAGAAACATCATGAACTCCATCACTCGCTCATTCACCGAAATATTGTTTCCTGTTTATTGAGACTATTCGGTTTTCATAGATTCATGATGCAAGAAATAATTGATCCATATGTTTTGTTTGTTTTATCGTTTTTATTTAAAGATTCATAACGTGACGCTTGGTTCATTTGAATTTTCACTTAAAGGCACAGACTGCAAATACAAACAGGCTACGTGATCGCCCCCTGGTGGCTGGCTGCAGTATAAGTCATAAACCTCCTCCGTGTTAACAGATGGGACATGGACCAAACTAAAAAAATCTGAGACTGACTCCTGGATAGTGGAATGAGTTGGAGCTGCGTCGTCCATTTTCATTTTGATCTTTGCTTAAACTTAACAACCAATAATTAACTAATTAATTAACTTATCGGAAAAGGAAAAATAAATACATCCAAACTTGTAAATGATCATTTTCATTGTATACGCACCATTTAATATTTCATCAACCAACTAGTTGACTAATCCGTTAAAGGCACAGTGTGTAGAATTTAGTGACATCTAGTGTTGAAGTGTCATGTTGCAGCTGAACACCCCTCCCCTCCCCCTCTCCTTCCAAACATGAAAAAGAACCTGTGGCAGCTTCAGTCGTCATAAAAACTCAAAAGGTTTTAGTTTGTCCAGTCTGGACATGATGTAAAAAACATGGCAGCCTCCGTAGAGAGGGTCCCCTCCATGTAAATATAAAGTATTTAATATAAAGTATTTAAATATAAAGTATTTGAATAAAGGGTCTTTTCTGAGGTAAAGAAAATTACATTTCATACAATTGAGATGAAACGAACTGGTGAAAACATCATGAGGATTCTTCTACATTAGATTTCTGCCAATAGTTCCCTTTCACCTGAATCTTACACACTGGAGCTTTAAGTTCTAAACCTGGTTAAAAAGTAGAATCTGCAGATAGAAACCAGAACATGTGTCATTGTGAAACTTCTCAATGTGTCTGAGACGCTGTGAAATCAAGACGTCTGCGTGTCGCTGTGATCATACAGGAAGAAGAATACACAGGTTCGTCGTGTTGCATGTAAACGCCACAGACGTAATCCAAGTAAAACACACGTACACACGAAGCGTCTCGGTTTCATTCCACCACAGACATGAAACTGAAAAA